CTGTTGCCGGTCCCGGTCTGGTATGGGGGCAACACTGAGGGTTGCGATCCGTTGCCGGACACAGAAAAAGACAAAAAAAAAAAAAAATTAATCATAGGGGTCGGCCTGGTGGTGCACTGGATAAGTGCGCCGCTTGGGAAGCGCGGCGGCGCTCCCGCCCGAGGGTTCGGATCCCACATACAGACCGGTTCCCGCTCACTGGCTGAGCGAGGCGCGGGAGCAACACCGAGGGTTGCAATCCCGTTGCCGGTCCCGGTCTGGTATGGGGGCAACACTGAGGGTTGTGATCCGTTGCCGGACACAGAAAAAGACAAAAAAAAAAAAAATTAATCATAAAATTACCATATGATCCAGCAATTTCACTTTGGGTATATACCCAAAAGATTTGAAAGCAGGATCTAAAAGAGGTGTTTATAAACAGCAGCATTATTCACAATAGCAAAAACATAGAAGCAACTCAAATATCTATCAACAGATGAATGGATAAACAAAATGTTGTATGTACATAAAATGGAATATAATTCAGCCTTAAAAGGGAGGAATTTTTTTTTTTTTTTGGTGGCTGGCCAGTACAGTGATCAAACCGTGGATCTTGGTGTTATCAGCACCATGCTCTAACCAACTGAGCTAACCTGCCAGCCCTTGGGAGGAAATTCTAACATAAGCTGCAACATGGATGAACCTTGAGGACATTATGCTAAGTGAAATAACCCAGTCACAAAAAGACAGATAATGTATGATTCTACTTATATGAGGTACTTAGAGTAGTCAAAATCATAGAGACAGAAAATAGGATGGTGGATACGAGGTCTGGGGGAGGAGAGAATGGGCAGTAATTGTTAAATGGGTATTTGATTTCAGTATTAACAGGATGAAAAGAGTTGTGGAGATAGATGGTTGTGAAGGTTGTACAGCATCATGGATGTATTTAATACCACTGAACTGTACACTTAAAAATGGTCAAGATGGTAAATTTTATGATGTGTGTTTTACCAGTTTTAAAAATTGGGGGGGAAGTAGCCTTTTCTTCAATGTCCATTTTCCACCAAAACTTCCCCAATATCAAATTTGCTTATCTATTTTGAAACAGCTAAAATATCAGTGATGTAATGGAGTAAGGTTCTCAACGTCATCTGTGAAAATCGAACCCTTTTTTCCAGACAGACAGACAGAAAATTCTTTTGGCTTTTAACTCATTTTTTAGTAGATCCTGAACTAATATAAAAAATTGAGAACAGGTGACCAATATTTCCAAAGAATCATAAAAATTCAGAACATCCCAAAGAATAAATAACTTCAGGAAAAGTTAATTGAAAATCCTAAGTTGGAATCAAATGAATGACTGTATTTAAAATCACTTGGTCTGCATTTCATCCTTTAATCAATTTCTGTGAATCTTGGTATTACCTACACATTTCAAGTTTACTTTTTACATTTTCTCATAAATTTTCAAAGATATTTATTGCAGTGCTTTCAGGAAATCAATAAAAATTTCAAAGACTTGTGTGTGGTTAAAGAACAGAAAAACAAGAAGAACTTATTAGTTGATCCAGCTGTGCTTTATTGTTTAATTAAAAATAAGCCAAAAAAAAATCAGGAAATAAGAAATATTATAAATATGGTATTTTGTAACTCTCACGAAGTGGGTTAGCCAAAAAGCAGATAAAAAACCTTAATTGGGCAAAGTAAGAGTCAGCTGTTATTTACATGAGATCTTCATGGAAGGTAACTAAGCTTCCAAATAGTAGAAATTAAAATTCTTTTGTGCGCTGGATTTCAGGGAACAAGTTGGTTAGCAACATATGTTTCATGGTTTTGCATTTGTAACTTTATTTTTGTCATTTGATCAGTAAGATTTATGGCGCTTTTAATTAATCCAAACTTTGGAGATCTTGTAAACAAGTTGGATATGGAAAATCAGTTTATTTAGCTCTCTTAAAATAATACAGAAATTAAGGCTGACATTCATTAGGAAAATAACCTAGAAGATTGTCTTTTAATATTCTTTGCCTGGGAAAAGATGATGACAGTCTTGTAGATGTCGAGAGGTTCCCTTTTAATTGAACATTTTTTGTTCAAGTGTTCGTTTTCCTTTGGTTTTTTTGTTTGTTTGTTTGTTTTGTTTTTAAATTTGACTATGACAGTCTTGTAGATGTCGAGAGGTTCCCTTTTAATTGAACATTTTTTGTTCAAGTGTTCCTTTTCCTTTGGTTTTTTTGTTTGTTTGTTTGTTTGTTTTGTTTTTAAATTTGACTGGTAAGGGGATCTTAACCCTTGACTTGACTTGGTGGTGTCAGCACCACGCTCTCCCAAGTGAGCTAACGAGTCATCCCTATATAGGGATCCGAACCCACGGCCTTAATGTTATCAGCACCCACTCTCCCAAGTGAGCCATGGGCTGGCCCCCCTTTCCTTTGTTCTTTTCTCCCTCATTATTTTTAAAAATTCAGATAGTCGAATTAGTTTAGCTCAAAAGAAGACAAATTAAGTCCTCAGCCAGCTCAGTCCCCTGCCCACAACCTTCTTCCATGTTGGAATTTTCTAATACAAAATTTTGCTTTAAGTCAGAAATTTACCCTTTTTCTTCCATTTTAAATTTGCTGTGGCAGTTGTGTGGCACACAGGTAGGGGAGTATGAGGAATAGGGAAATGGTTGAGGTCTAGCTGGTAGCACACTAAAGTTCTAAAGGGTCAACTTTTAGGATGTCTAATCTTACTCCCTTCCAGGGACACTGTGCCAGTGGTCCCTGACAAGAGCCTTGCTGTGCCTGGGCTCTCTTCCATTGTGCTCTATAGAGCAACAGGGAAGTCTAGGGCAGTGCTATCTGATAGAACTTTCTGTGATGATGGAAATGTTTTATTATTTATATTTTCCAATATGATAGCCACTAGTCATATGTGGCTGTTGAGCACTTAAAATGTGGCTAGTACAACTAAGGAACTGAATTTTAAATTTTATTTATTTATTTATTTTTTATTTTTATTTTATTTTATTTTTTTTT